GTAAACGGGTTTCCTTGTATAATTTGAATATGAGGACACTGCTAACGTTTAAATTTCACAGATAGGACATAAATGACATATTCATAATTCCTGCGAAGTTCTACAGCATTTGAGGTTGGCTGCAAAAGGGACATAGTACCTTTAATATAAACAGGTTTCATGAACATTATTGAAGCTTCATTTTCCAAATAAGCCCTCGAAACGAATGATAAGTTAACCGTTCAACAATGTTCATTCATTCAACTATAAATGTAGCAGACTCTGTATTCTTGACAATAATATTGTCTGTTGAGATCCAGAGGAGGTGTTTTAATCCATTCAAGGTCAAGTGAAAACGTCACCGGACTGTGGATCACAAGGTCTACGGTTGGAGTCCCGTCTGAGCACTTATGTCCTTTGGCAAGACATTAATCTATATTTGCCACTCTCCACCCAGGAATTCATTCTTTGAAATGCTAGAGCGTCGTAATGGCACCCATGCTAAAGCCAGGGTAGTAATTGCTGAGCACCAGGAGTGTCACGTATGACAGACATGAGCGCTTTACAAGAACCCACTATTATTATTATTATTATTACTACAGGAACTGATTGGTCCCTGTATTAAGCATACATGAATGAGAGAAGTCAGAAGTAGATGGGTTAAGGACATGAATTAACACCCTCCTGCCTCGTATTTTACATCCAGCAAATTGAATAGAAAGTCTGTGTGACAAGTTATATTAATAAACATATGTGTTTTATCTGTCTCACTCTCTTCCTTCCTAGTGCATATTCTCATTTCCTATATTAAACCTCATTGCAAATCAATATGTCGCTATCTTTGATGTTTATGAATTCATTGATTGTTATCGGCACGATACAAAGGAGGTTGTAAAGGCAATGTATCAATTGGTTTTCAATTGGCCTTTATTGACTAATTCACAATAGGGAAACAGGCAAAAGCATCCACCTGTTATGAGTTTTTTTATAGAAATATTGTCATGAAAAAGATAAATCGATGGGTAAATGTAGGATTTGCAATATTTTCAATTGGCAATTAATTAGCAATGCAGCATAGCCCAACAATCATTTTCCTTCCAATTGTTAAAGAATCTTCTAGAGAAGTAGTTTTGTGGAAAATGTTATGAACATTAATGAACAAATATGCATTTGTATGGATTTATATAAATTAGAATACCTTGGAGAAAAAAATGGCATGGATCTTTTAGGGGAAAATATTTTTTCAACTTTTGTATTGGGTTTTGTACATGGACATGGGGGACTTCATCTACATGCATTATTTCACTGTTGTTTTATCCTCTTTAATGTGTATTTCATTATAAATGCTCTTGCAGATACATATAGAAATGCCATACGTCAAAACCTGGTGTCATTATTAGATTCATTTGTTTATCTCTTGTAAGACACATGTATGTTGCCAAGCCTAATAATGAACGAATAATTAAAGGGCCATGACATTGTTTATTGAATGTTGATGCATGTTGCCAATTTGGCAAGCTTGATGGCACCCTTTCAAGCCTGAAGCCAAGAATAATTATTCCAATGCTCTAAAAATAATCAAACAATCATCTGTCTGAAGAGATGATTTTGGAAGGAATGAACTGGTCTGAAATAACCTTGACCTCAAATTCTGTCTTTATTGACAACCTTTGATGATCAATTTATTTATGTGGAGACAAAAAATGTAATTATTGTTGCAATTTGAAAATATTATTTTGTTCAGGTACATGTAGAAATATTAACAAGTGTAAAAACTGTCCAAAATACAACTTCTTGAATATTGCCTGATTTTGTTACACCTGTATCAAAAGTAACATTGCAAGGTAATTTTAATGCTTCTGACATGATATTCATTTTAATATAGACATCTAAAAGAAATCCCCAAAGAGATTAATTGCCCACACCGTCTTGTAGGTTGAGGGAAAAGTATCATCTCAGAGATTCTTACAAAATTGTGCATGTTTACAACTGCCCAGTCAAGGTATATTCGCATGTAACAATAGCACAATGCAATTTAGATCCAAACAGGGAATATTCAAGGCACTTTCAATAGGATAATTCTAAGAGAGTTATCAATTCTCTCTATTGGAATGACCCTTATAATTGCAATGTCCAGACCTCCTTGGTAATTATTGATCAAGATTCTTAGACCCTCACCGTAGCAAGTGGTAGGAAAAGCATGCCAATAGGAAGGTTCTGCCCATGCTACACTGAGTCTGTCATTGATGAAGTAATAATTGTCTTGATAGCAAACATGTTGGAAGTGAAGGAAGCATCAGTGCCGTTTATGGTGAGCCGAGAGGAGTGGATTTATATTTAATATGCTGTCTTTTAAGAGCTAGAAGGAAGTCAGCACTGTTGAAAGTTATTTGATTGATTTAACCCGTTGCCAACTGATACCGGGTTGCTCATGTATTTAAGCCTGTGGCAGTGAGAGAATTCGTTAGTCATCCATTAATGCCCTTCTGGCTCCCAACTGATGATGTTTTCAAAAGATTATCATAGTCACATTGATGATAACAAAAGCCTGCATGGTAAGTGAGAATACACTAAAGCCTCTTCCACTTCTGCCACTATTCATTCTGTTTTATGGTAGCATTGAATACCATGAATGGTAATAATATTATTGATATAAATACATGTTTGCCTTGATACATGTACTTGCTATTAAGAATGCAGTACAAACGAGCACCATCAATCACCATTAAATTGATGAGAAAGTGATGAATAAAGTATACTGGGTCAAATATTCCATTAAACTCTGAAGGAAATAACCCTTTCATCATTCATCACACTTAGATGATGAACATGGAAATCGTGCTGAATATGTCCTCGCAATTTGTAAGTGCTTTTAACATCTAATGTATACAATTTTGATATGGATATGAATTTTGATAGTGTTTAGTAAAACACCTGCCAGCAGAGATACATGAACAATGCACATGCTTGGTGTGAAAGAAGTTCCTTTTTGGTAGACCTTGGGCATTCAGTAATCAATAATGAGTTCTGTGTTCTTTTCTTCATTTATTTTCTTCTGTAATTGCAAGTTATTTGGATTGTTTCAGACTATAGAGTTGGTGAAGTTGAGATTTTAAAAATATTTTCTGTGTGATGATTATAATCATGATTCTCTTTGAAGATAATTATTGCCAGAGAAATGAATCTGTCATTAACACATAATGGCGCAGCAAGTACATACAACAGACAAAAGAAATAAACAATGGACTTTTTATGAAATTAAGTAAGCGGTGTGATGTACGATCCCATTATTTCAGTGACTGTTTAATGTTCATACCGATGCTGAACAGAATTAGAATGCTGTCATGTGATCTCTCACTCATGTTGCTTTACATCGATGTATGTTGACCTGCGAATGACTCTAGTGTACTTGATTAGAAAGTCAATGTAGGAGTCCATCTAATGTGCAATATATAATATACTGAATTGTAATTGAAGTGTAATTCTCAATATAACAAAACACACATGGTTTTATTACTCGATAAGCAAATGTATTCCAGTTTATCAATTGGATGTTTATTTATCTTAATTTCAACTTCATGAGAAACATTCTCAATCTGAATAACAGTCTTCCAAAGTACACAATGTAAACCTTTTATTGAAATAATTTGGCAGCATATAAACTACTTACAGGACCCCATTCAAATAAAGCTAATTTCCTGTCAAGGCATTTATGTACTTTGATTGTTATACATTCACCAGGCTTCAATACCTTACATATCAAGTTAAGTCAAATAAAATCAAGTTCAAGTTCAAGTTCATTTTATTTCACATCCAATAAAAACATCATTATAACATTAAAAATACAATTATACAAAATGCAATATAAATAAAATATAATAAGAACAAATAAAACAACAACAGTAACACTAAAATTGATTAATGGGTGGAGTAGGGATGTGAGGGACCTGATACAGCATGAAGGGGTAAGCAAACAACAACATTGTATTATTATTTTATATTCATATCAGTAGGCCTATGCTCTTTATGAATATATTTTAATCCCATCTTATATATTGTCCAAATAAATTCAAATGAAAAATAGTGTAGCAAAATATGACACAAACATAAGGAGCCTTTTTAAGCAGGGATATATCTGGCCAATCAACATTCTCCTGCCCTGATGCATCTAGGCTAATTTTAAACAGGGAAGGAATTCACTTATGTGTCTGCATTATTACGTTCTCTTTCAAGCCTGCTATCTACATCCAGGTACATAAAAGTTTATTTTTACTAGGCCAGATGTTGTACTTGTCAAATGGTGTTTTACATGTCATTACTTTCACAAAGTGACTTTGGGAAAGATCAACTAGGTGATAAAGAAGAATGAGAAATGTTGAGAGTGAACAAGATAATATCGGTTGAAATGATACAGAAATGTCTTTCGAAGAGCAGACTGGTGCATGTTTTAAGAGCAGACTGCAAACCAATCAATATATCGTCTTCATGAATAATAGAACATAGACTGGTAGGTCTACGTGTCAATCTTCTTCTCACAAATGTAGGTTAGTGTGTAAACATCTATGCCTGTCATAACGTGACGCAAATCAATATCATCAAATAGTTATGATGGAACTGGCATCAATGTTTGTGATCTAATATTTGAAAAGTGTTGCTATGTGGATAGGATATGATGTCAAATTTCTGGTACTTCACTTCACTTGATGTTTTCTTGTACTTTGGAGAAAATTTTCTTTTTTAAAATATGAAGACCTAATATTATTCAGCATGAAATTAGTAATGCACTATGTCTGAGCGAAATAAGACAAACAATAACACAACAACTAATGAAAACAAAACCTGCAAATACTTTGTGTTTGAATAATATTTTCAAATTTTATATCATATATCTTTATTTCAGTATATTGAATTTGTATGTTTTGGGTTTTAGATAATAGAGGGAAATCACATCTGTGAAAGACAGCCAAAGAAGTTTTGTTTAAATATAATGATTGTAACTACGTTTTATGATTTTGTTTCAGATAAAACTATACAACTGCAGCCAACCATCAACTTGCCAATTGCAGACCGTTTCTGGTGAGTGTAAGATATTTATTATAATCGTGGAGTGTATTCACATCAGGTGTAGATAGCAATACCTGCTGAATATACATTTATTAGAAATGTTGTTTTAAAATGCTTATTCTGTGAAATTCAGTTATATCAGATTATGTAAGCATCAAGATCTTCATGAACTCCAAAACACCTGAACACCTGAAACACCTATGTCTATATCTTTCAAGCTGACAGAAAAAAATGCTTGACTCATATTCATGTACACTTTAGCACCACTCTCTCTCTCTCTCTCTATTTCTCTCTCTCTCTCCTCTCCTCTCTATTTTCTCTCTCTCTCTCTCTACCTCTCTCTATCTTTCTCCTCATTTCTCTCTCTCATACTCTCTCCCTTGCTCTCTCACTCTCTCTCTCCCTCTCTCTTTCTCCCCTTCCTCTCTCTCTGTCATCCTCCCTCTCTCTCTCTTTATTTCTCTCTCTTATCCTCTCTCCCTCTCTCTCTCTTCATTCCTTATTCCTACTCTTTCTCTTTTTCTTTCTCTCTCTCTCTCTCTTATCTTCTCTCTCTCTTCCTTCCTTATTCCTTCTCTCTCTCTCTCCCTTCCCCCTCTCTCTCGCTTTCTTAGCCCATAGTATATAAACTCTACTCATTATTATCTTTTGGGAAAGGATCCCAGGTACTGAGAGTGTACCTAACCTAGTAGGCTAGATATTGATTAGATCCATTCTGATTTGGAGCAAGCATGTCCGATACATTCATCATCTGATACCATTAGTGGGCAGTCCTTGTCCCTCTGGGGTCACTAAACTAATTCAGTGTGTGTCCAGAGGGGTCAGTCAATAGCATGATGACCGATGGGTTTTATAGCAAAATGTTGGATGAGAATAGGCCTGTTTACTAATGTATTCACGGACCTTTAAATTTGCACACGGTTGTAAGCTCTGGCAAACAAACCGAGCGCAGTGTCTGCTACGGCCCTGCTACACACACTTTGTATACGGCGATGTGGGGAATGCGAGGAAAAAAAGGCTGATCATCGTCCTAATAAACTTCGTTTAAAACTGTTTGTTTTCCAACCTTAGGGTATATAATTAAAATAAATATAGTTTTTCTCAGTTGTACATGACAAATCTTCGATTTTATTTTCCGAAATCCGACGAAATATCGCAAAAATGGGAGGTAAGCATTGCTGTTACGGCACGTGTAACAGCGATTCACGGTACGCAGACAGACCCCATATGAATGGTGTGTTTTTCATCCCGTTCCCCAAACCAAAGACGAACCTGGAGAAGTGTAAAATATGGATTAAGAATTGTGGAAGAAAGGACTTTGGAATCGACATATTATATGCTTTGAGTTTCTTTCTGTCGTAGTCAGTTCTATTTACTATCAGGTAGTTGAAAATGTCGTATAATCCGAAATCTGGTATACTTTCAAAGTTCTCGGTGTAGCCGGTGATTTTCATTGGGTCGTCGAACGAGCACCCCGCACGCTCCAACTTCTCCCGCAGCGACCGTGCGGAGTCGAAGCTCGCAAGGTCCGGGTCTTGGGGCAAAGCGATATCGGCCACAGCAGTCGCAAGTTGAACTAGTTTCTGTTTGTTGTACCCTGATGTCGTAACTCCTCTCTTTCTTAAATAATCGGTGAGCTCCTTCACTGTCCACTGCGAAAACGGCTTGCTGGAACTACAACTCGATGTCGAAGGCGATGCCATTGTAGAAATTAGGGTGAAAAAACGTCGCGGTCGCTAGCAATGGCTTTGTATGTGTATAGCGTAGCGGGCATGGAAAAACAATGTGGCGACCGTGCCGCACCACGCAAAGCTTGCCCTACGTAGTAACAATCGCTAGGGTGCGAGGGATTATGACGTCACTCGCATATCATTAGTAAACAGGCCTATTAGAGGCAGAGCAGAACGTGGGGGTGCATTTCACTCTCCATCATAAAGGATAGAGGAAAATATGTAAATTGGTGGTTTCTGGGCTGTTTCATAAGAAGAAGTTTGAACGAACAAACAAACAATCACACTGTCCATGATAGCAATGAACCACCCACACCTTTTAACAGTTTAGTTGCTTTCTTTGTCTCCGTGCACGGTTACACATTTGCCTCATTTTTTGCACTAAACAATAGCCCTTTTATACATGTAACTTCATGATGTAGAAATTATGATAAGATTAAATTTATCTGAAAGTAAATCTCAACTCTTTTTGATGCAAACCATAATTCCATGCATAATTCTATCCATTTCAAGACTTAAGTGACTTTTAATTGTTTCTAATGATGATTCTGATCCTTAAGAAATGACAATATTTGTATGTATTTAAGGAAAAATCTGGCCACAAACATTCATATGTTAGGAGAGAGAGAGAGAAAGAGAGAGAGAGGAGAGCATAATAGAGAGAAAGAGAGAGAGAGACAGAGAGAGGGTAATAAAGAGAGGGCGAGAGAGAAAGAGAGAGGAAAGAGAAAAAGAGAGAGAGAGTTTTAGTATCAGTGTATATGGATCCGTAGTGAAAATGACAAGATAGAAGACAGGAAATGAAAACCATTAAGATATCTTTTCAATCAATAATCGAGGGGCTTGTATCTGAGCTGATTGCCATTAAATGATCATAGTCACAAAATATATTGCTCAGTGCTTTTTCTATAAAAAAGATGGCAAGCTTCCGATTATAAAGTCTTTCATCATATTTGAAAAAGAGAATATCCCATATTTATATCAGTAATTCATGTGATATTTGAAATGTTGTGCAACACATTCTGTATTTGGGATTAGGAGAGAAAAAAAAGACAGAGGTTCATTACTTATGCTAGCCTTTCTCTTTAGACATTAATGCCAACCTGGTCTAGTTGGGTACGAGTTGGAGAATGCTGCTTTGTTGGGCAAGCACAAACAAAATAATACATGCTATGTTATGACCTACTAAAATCAAGTTGGCCAAACTCTGTATAAAATGGCTCTGGCTCCATCTAAACATATCCGCTGTCCACTCTCTATCAGTCTGACCTGCTGTGTAGTGTAACTCTCATTATACTGGCATGAATTATGGAAATCCACCTATAAACAGATATCCATATTTCATGCATGTCCAGATGAAAAGTTGATATGGTCAGAGTTAGTCTTCCATCAAAGAGGGATCACCTGCATTGATTTAAAGATTACCCAGGAGAATAGATCTGGGTATTCAGACTAAACCTTTAAGCGTAGGAGAAACTTATCCCATCAGTTTGAGGAAATTGGAAGATTACTAAAGAATGGACAGTTGTATTTTTATCTTTTGACAATCAGAGGTAATGGTCAAGTTCTTGCATGAGAAGTGAAAGTGTTTAAAGGCTTTTGTGAGTTTTATTTTAGTCTTATCGTTAAGGTGTTTATGTGGGATCCTGCCCATTTTTTCTTTTATTTGCCAAGCATAGGTTATTGTTTGTTTGTTTGTTTTGTTTTATTTATTTCAACATAGTAATAACAAACCTGCTTTCAGCCACAAGGCTGTTTTTCAGCAAGTCTGTATGTAGAAGACACCATTAAAAAAAAATACCAGAGTAATTACAAATTACTTACAAGGGATAAATGCAAATTCCAAAACTATATCCAAGTTATACACAAGTTATTGTCAAAAGACAAAGCTTTTAGAGTAGAGATAACAGAGAAAGTAGGGAAAAAAGTAGAATCAGAAAAACATTACAATTACAAACAAAAAGTGTCATGACCAAAATTTGGTAAATTGTCTAATTGTTTATTACTAAAATTAGAAATTAAACCGGTTAGAGACTTAGGGTATTTGAGAGTGTCATGAAAAAGGATTTCCTATATGGAAGAAGGCAACAAAAACTTTAATATAACTTGATTTCTATCCAATATATTTGACACTGGCTGTTTTGTAATTTACATGTCAGTGGCTTTTGCAGACAAAGGTCATTTACTTGACAAATTTAGCCATGGTGGTATTCGCTCGCACTTAGTATTCCATGCATTGCCACTTGTATTAGTCTAATATGACCCTTTGGGCTGCAACAAATTGTCCTTTTCTGATGTTTTAAATACAGCCCTTGTATTATCATTCATGGCTTTCATTAAAGCAATTGCTCTCTTGTCACAGAAGGACATTTTTGCTTTCATAATCAGACAGATTCCAATGACAGAGCAATTACAGTGCTATTACTATAATTGGGCGGAACTGGTGAAAATATCCTTGGGCTACAAATATAGATGGAGTGGGAAAATGATGGGCTGTGAGAAATTGGGGAGGCAAATATAATTTAACCTGTAGACTGCTGCATTGTTGACTTCTTGCAGGCTTGATAGAGTAAGTGATAGAGAGATAGGTGTTGGAGAGATGAAGGCAGATACAATGTAGAGAGAGAGAGAGAGAGAGAGAGAGATAGAGAGAGAGAGAGAGATACAGAATATGGAAGAGCAAAGGAGGGAAGAGAGTGTGAGTAGATGAGAGAAAGAGAAGGAATGCAGAGGGGAGAGAAAGGGGAAAAAAGAGAGAATGAGAAGATGGAAGAGAGGGGGAGAGGGTTAGAAGAGGAAGAGAAAGAGAAGGGTGAACAAGGAGGAAACAAGTTTGATAGTAACTTCATGACAGGAGCTTTCATGCTATAGCAGATAAATATCAATTTAAGGCATGTGGGAATTATTGGGGTTAAAGTGGTTATAACTGAGTACATTGGAGAGGATTTGGTACATTGAATTAAAGAAAGGATAAAATTTAAGCTATTTACGATTTACAAAGAAAAACTGTCAGCCATCAGCTAATTTGTATAATATTTCATGACTTCTTTGTGACTTTCTTGGATAAACTGGTTTCAAGACCTAGTGACTTGTATGTTGCCTTTCTGGTAACATTTAGCAAATACAAGTTCATTGGGTCTTCACAGATACTTGTCTTATCTAAGCAGGGAGCTCCTTACTTCAAGAGCATCCGTTGGTAGATGGGTACAGCCATGTAGGTCCATGGTATTCCCTATTCACCTAGGGAATCCTTTAATAGCAATGTAGCTTGCGTGACATCTG